CTCAAAAAAAAAAAAAAAAAAATAGTAGAAGCCTGAAGTGGGTAATTTCGTTTCAGGATGACGAAGTCCAGTAACGGTGCAGGGTAGGAGTGGAAAGGCGTACCAGATAGCTTGGGGGAAGATACATGGGTTCTCAGCCTCTAACTAGAAGTGCCTCCAATTTCAGGGCAGCAAGAGTAGCGCACCACTGGCCCCAGGAGTGAAATTCCCCATGTCGATACACTGCAGGAGGGATTAACACACCTGGAAGGGGGTGAAGACAGAAAAGGACCCTCCTTGCCCTCTGATTCCCTAGTAGCACAAGATGAGGAGAAGGGTCTCTAAGAGGCCAGCCTTACACCCTCTGCTCCCCGACTCGGGGCCTCCCACAAGCCTGCAGCACAAGCCAGCACTCAGCACTCATTGGTTGCTATTTTGGAGATTGGCACCGTCAAAGCCACGACTCACATGCAGAGAATGGCTGCCACGGCCAAGCTCTCTAAACCCGAACCCAGGAATATTAAAACATAAGACTGTCCTTGGCAAGCAAAGACCCATGTTGCTCATGAATGGTCCAGAATCAACCCGAAAGACTGTCTTGATACAGATCCATTTCTCTTTGTTTTTTTTTTTGAGTTGGAGTTGTCATTCTGTCGCCCAGACTGGAGTGCAGTGGCTGCTCCCAGTCACCGCAGCCTCGACCTGCTGGGCTCCGGCGATCCTTCCGCCTCAGCCTTCCAAGTAGCTGGAACTACAGGCGTGCGCTACCACGCCCGGCTAATTTTTGACTTACTGTAGAGATGAGGTCTCTCCAAGTTGCCCAGACGGGTATTGAACCCACGGGCTCAGGCAATCCACTCACCTCAGCCTCCCAAAGTGCTGGGATTACAGGCTGAGCCACCGAGCCCGGCTAGATTCATTTCTTCTTTCGATGGTGTATGGCTTTTAAATGACCTCCTTTAGCTTCAAAAGTAACGTTTGAAATGCTTTGGGTAAGTGGCTTAATCAATATCATGTAATATTTATATGCCAGCACAGTTGGCATATAGAATTGTACTCATTTCTCTAACAGTGATAAATAACTCAAGTCCAGCCATCATTTGGGATTTGGATTCTAGCCCTCTAGGCGGGGGACACATGACTTATTTGCCTCAGGACTGCTGGCTGCAGGGGAGTGTGGACCTGAGGGACCAGGTTTAAGCTCCGAAATGAACACACGAAGTCCATGAGTATCTTTCTCTTTATTCTTGAATGTCAAATGGGGCTCAGGTCTGGGGGATTCATATTACACGTACATACAGCATCTCAAGTTAAAAGTGATTTCCAAGGTGCATAAATACAATTCCACTTTCATTTTTCCTAGTTATCCAGGAACTTTCATAAAGCAAACGTTTTGAGCAGAAGACCACTTACTCCGTAAGTTGTCAGGTGGAAAGTGTCCAGGCGAGGCAGACCACCTGCGAGGCGGACTTTTTCTCTGCACAAAAGCCACCCTGCCGTCTCTTCCACAATCACATCTGAAGATAAGTCAAGTTACTAAGTGGGGTGGAGTGTCAGTGGCCTGGGGGGAGGGGGATAGAGCCATCCGCCCACCACTAGCTTTTTCCCATCAGACACACTGAGTGATTCTCTGGCCACACGTGACCAGAGGAATATTGGAAGATCCTGGGAGGCTTCCCACAGGCATTCCCACCAGGTGTTTCCCAGGAATTATGGATCCAGGCGGAAGGGGTACAATCACCAAGCAATGCCACCAAAATGAACACTGCTGGAAAGCAGTGATTGTCCCATGAATTCTGATGCTATTCTGAAACAATCGGTCAAATGGGAGTGAGGGAAGAGGTTGGAGCAAAAAGCCTCAGATGAGGCTAAATGGCAGTCACTGCCTTTTCACTTAAATAGAAGTTGACTGAGTGCAGTGGCTCATACCTGTAATCCCAGCACTTTGGGAAGCGGAGGGGAGAGGATTGCCTGAAGCCGGGGTTCAAGACCAGCCCGGGCAACTTGATGAGCCTTGTCTCTACAACAAATCAAAAAACGAGTGGGATGTGGCGGCACACCTGTGGCTCCAGCTACTTGGAAGGTTGAGGCAGAAGGATCGCTGGAGCCCAGCAGGCAGAGGCTGCACTGGCCATACACATGCCACTGCACTCCAGCCTGGGCGACAGAGTGAAACTCCAACTGAAAAAAAAAAAAGCTTTTGGCAACTTCTGCTCAGTGTCAAGGAGCCTAGCCTAAGTGGATCATGGGTCTAGCAGCCTCCGAAGGATGGGGCTAGACAAAGTTCCTTCTCATACAAGGTCGCTGCAGGGGCAGGGGCAGGGACAGTAGCCACAAAGGAGGAGGCATGCTGAGGGCTATTTAAGCGCCAGACCAGGAATACAAGTGGAAAGTCCTTGGGTGTAATTTTTTCTGTTGAATCTTCTTTGGTCTCTGTAGCCAGTGCTGCGTGTGGTTAAACTGGCCTAGTCTCACTTCGAAGCAGACTCCTGAGCAAACAAATATGCTTCAGCTACTTAGCATATTAAAACCGCTTCATCAGAGCCTCCTTGCCCTCTCAAAGCTCTCGGTCTAGACCAGAATTTCCCAAGTGTGGTCTGTGGTTTTTCTCCAACAGAAACACGAGGTGTGCTTTGTTCGTGCCCTCAACAAAAATGTCCTAGGATCTGAGAGTGGGGGTCTGCGATTCTGTAAACAAGTTCTTCAGGAATTCGGAAAAACAGCCGAGTGTGGGCAGCGCTCTCCAAGGGGCCCCGTGAGACTCACATGCTCCCCGCGGGCAGCGTCAGCCAGGCGAGTTGGAAACAAGGGCCCCAGGGTCCCGGCTCCCTGACCTAACACTTGACCCCGTTTCAAAGCTTCAGGTAAGGCAAGGGGAAAAAAAGATACCCAGTGAAGAATTCATTGTTTGTTTATTATTCACAGTTAATCACTACCTACCAAATGCTATTCGCAGAGTTAAAGGATTAAGTACATAGGTCTTTTTATTTAAACACTGTTTTTTTTAAATATATACACACAAAACTTAGTTCAGCAAGGCTTCATGATATACACCAATTCCAAAACAAAACAATCAAATGGTCCAGGTGTGGAGCGCCAGATTCCTGCATCATCATGGAGGAAAGGAGAAGCAGAATGAACGGGAGCAGGGAAGGCGAGACATGCTCAGTCCAGAGGAGCCACCGCCGAGCGCTCGGGGCCGAGTCCAGTCCATAATCAGAGTCCAAGGGAGATTCTCACCAACTGTCTCGAACCCGAAGGCCCCAGGCTGTCACCAACTCCCAGGGAAAGGGAAGCGGCCTCACTTTTGTGGTGGGAAGGGAATTGGGAAGAGAGAAGTTTACAGGCACCCCACTACAGGGGAACAAAGGTGGACAGAGAGAGCTGCAGCAGCCTCAGTCTTCCTGTCTTTCCAGTCTTGTCTTCTCCTGACTCCTCCTGCTTCCTGGGACATTTCACTTGTGGAGTCAGGGAAGCCGCGGTCAGCACAGCCCCTGTGAACAGAGACCAGGGCAGGAATCCTGCCGCTGTCTGCTGCAGCCCTCCTGCTCAGCTGGACAGCTTAGGGGACACACAAGGAAAGCCGTGACCTAATTTTAAGAGCCAGAAAAATAAAGAGCGAACACTCTCATTTTTCTACCCCAGTGTAGGAAGATGGTAAAACCTGCGGTTTAAACAGCGTTTTCTCCTCCTGCATTGGCACCTTGCTGGCTCTGGGGGTTTGCATCTGGGGCTCTCTAGAGATAGGGATGGTGAAGACAAGGCTTCTGACCCCTTTAAGCCAGGTCCAGTTGGGGTGGGAGGGCTGTGACCCATCCTTGGCAGCTTCCTCACAATGGAAGGCTCACAGGCCTTGGAGCTGAACCTGGAAACTCCGAGCTCGAGCTCACCACAGGGGGGAGAACACCCCCCCTCCACTTCTGCTTGTTTCCTTTGCTCTACTCTGTTCCCCTCCCCCAGGGAAAAGTATTTTCACAGAGTAGGAGACAAATTGGCTGAAAAGCTCTGGACTGTCATTAACTTATTTCAAAACAAAACAAATAAAAAGAAAAACACCACTCAGAAGCAACCTTTGAAATAAGGAAAAAGGCACTATGAAAAACAACATGCTCAACAATCCCACTTGGGAGGGAAAACAGTGAGGAGATGGAGGTTTTCAGTCTGACTGTCTCAGGAAGCCACGGGGGCAGGCAACACCCCCCACTTCCAACAGGGACAGAATGCACCGAGGGGCCGACTCCTATGCGCCCCCTCCTCTGGCAGAAGCGAAACAGCAAAGGCTTCAGGCTGCCTTGCCCTCTCCTTTTGTGTGTATATATGAAGAACACAAAAAGTTGTTCTTTCAGTCTTCCGACTAAAACAAACATTTTGCATAGAGAAAATACAGCCCACTTGGTTTCTTGTCTTTTATTATTGGCGTCAGCTAGGACTATACGTGGCTTTAAATGTCATGCACTGATGGACAGAAGAGATAAAGGATGAAAAAAGGCAAAGGAGGGAAAGAGGAGCAGCGGTGAAAGTTTGTAATAAAAACTCTTTTCTTAATTTATAGGTAAGTTTTGGCATTTTTATATCCAACACCTCCTCCCGCCCCCCAAGTTCCAACCAAAGTGAGAGGGTCACAGGGTGACCCCACCAGGTGTTCTGAGCTTCCTCACAGACTGCTGTTAGAGGCAGCTTGTGGGTTTAATTCTTTTGTACGCGCTGTAAAATTTTCACTTTCTTTAAATAATCTCTTCTTGACTCTTAGACGTTCCGGTTCACTGGGGTGACGTAGTTGCGGGGAAACATGCCGGTCTGCCCGTGGCAAGCCCCTTTCCACCAGTTGGGGTCTGAGTTATCCATGACGTGGATAAAGTCTCCCCGACGGAAGCCCAGCTCTCCATCCTCCTGGGGGTCAAAGTCAAAGAGGGCCTGGACGTACGTCGGCTGCTGCAAAAGAGGAGCGGGGAAAGCCCGCGCTGTTTTCCTGCCCGTGCCAGCCACCTCCAAAGCCGCACTGGTGACGGGGAGGAAACAAATGCATGCCCAACTCTTCGTACTTCCCAGAATCCCCCCCTCTCCCAGCCTCCCCATTTATCCTTCCGTACTCTAAAGTGCTGGCTAAAAGGGTTTCGTGAAATCTTTCACCAGGGCTCAAAAATACTGCAGCATGTCTCATTGAGGGCGGCCAATCGTCTCGTAGATCAAGTAGAGAGCAAGTCATGCTTGGAGGGACAAGTACTTCAGGAACCGCAGTCTGGGTTTCGCTCGCAGGTCCAGGATTCGAAAACATTTGAGTCCTTATTACCTGCAGCAACCTTAAGGTGTTGCAGAGTCAAAAGATCTAGAACCTGAATATCAGTGAACTGGATATTAGGAACAGGAATATAGGATAAGTGTGGCCCCTGCTGCCTCACAAATATAATTTTCCTCCGAATTTGCTTCCAGGGAGAATGCGTGAGAGAGCATGCTGAAGACCATCCCCCTAGAGAGACAGGTGGCAAGCCAACAATGCAGTGCTCAGAGAGGCAGCCTCTGAAAAAGGCAAAAACCTTCTATTTGAAACTACGAATCTTTAGCAGGAATTAAGGGTGCCAGTTTGAATAATGAGCACAGACACCTAGAGGCGCCTTAAAGGGCACGCGCTTGCCTGAGGAGCTATTCTTAGCTGCTAAAGATGGTCTTGATCACTCTCCTATGAGGCTTACCTGTGGCACCTGCTCTATGTCCCGCAGGAATATCTGCTGGTTTCTGGAGACTGATGTAGACCTGTGGTAGTCTACCAGCTCGTTCAAAGAATTGAACTTCACCACCCAGAGGAAGTACTTGCCAGCTCCGTCTCGGAGCACCTTGAAGTGCTGCACGTCATTTCCAAACCTGCGGCAGGGCAGAGAAGACAAGCGACCCGGTCAAAGAGCTTTATCCTGGCTAAGTGAGGGCTGTCTGCCAATCAGGAAGTGGCTGAGAGAACCACTGTTCTGGTAACATTCCTCACAGCCTCAGCCTGAAGGGCCCAGGGACTGTGAAGCATCAAGACTCTCCGCTGGAGAGAGCCGGGACAGCCAGAGCATCCTTAGGACCCCTCCATACGATTGAGAGGCACCAGTAGCAACACGAAGCCTCATGAGACATGGAAAGTCCATCTGTCAGTCTAATTCTGAAGAAGCTTGTAAGGTAAAGCGTCTACGCACACTGTACCCTATCACATAAGACAGAGCGCTACTTAAGACAAGGAGTGTGGCCAAAATCTTACATGATACTTGAAAACTAGAAAAGGTGGTAAGATTACAAGGGACCAGCAATACTTTCAACAATTCTCTTGAGACCAGAAACAGGGCCGGGTTCAGTGGCTCAGCCTGTAATCCCAGCACTTTGGGAGGCCAAGGCGAGTGGAGTGCCTGAGCCCGTGGGTTTGGGACCAGCCTGGGCAACTTGGCAAGACCTCGTCTCTACAGTTAAAAAAAAAATTAGCCAGGCGTGGTAGTACACACCTGTAGTTCTGGCTACTTGGAAGGCTGAGGCAGAAGGATTGCCGGAGCCCAGCAGGTTGACGCTGGGGTGGCCGTGAGTATGCCACTGCACTCCAGCCTGGGCAACAGAGTGAGACTCCAACTCAAAACAAACATACAAAAAAACTAGAAATAGTTCAAAATCATGTTCTCCATTCAGGAAATTTTAGTTCTACTCATGGGGGAAAAAGTCTTAGAATAAAAGGATCTACTAACTTGGTGAGACCTCATCTCTACAATAAATCAAAATGAGCCAGGCGTGGTAGCGCGTGCCTGTAGTTCCGGCTACTCGGAAGGCTGAGGCGGAAGGATCGCCGGAGCCCAGCAGGTCAAGGCTGCGGTGGCCGGGAGCGGGCACTGCACTCCAGTCTGGGCGACGGAGTGAGACTCCACCTCAAAAAAAAAAAAAAGACCTACTGAGACAAAACCCCAAACCTCTCCATCACAGATCACCAGATAACGTAGTCCCTTTTACACTGGCTAGCAAAACCAGTAGGAACATCGCCGGCTCGTACTGGCCCATGGAGTCTGTCACAGGAGATCTGGCTAGACTATAAGCTCAGTGAAGGCCCTGCTTGTCTTGTTCACAGCGGGTCGGACCCTCAAAAGGCACTCTCTGAACCTTTGTTCAACGAATGAAGACTTCCTCTCCTTCATTCTTAAAGCGAAAAGAAACCAAATGCTTCTGAGAAACAGTCCGGCAGGTGGCAGCACTGAGCTTCAAGGAAGCCACAGGATAAGATACCCTGTGTTTGGAAAGAGTATTACTTTTTCACACAAGAAAAAAATGCGGAAGGTGTGAAAGCTCCATTAGGAAGGGCATATTCACATCACATGGCTCTTCTGGTCCCACAGAGGCCAGTTTCTAAAGGAGTAAAGGGTCCTTGTGTTTCAAATGAGGGACTCAAGCCATCCTGAAGCTAAAAAACCTCCAGTATTGTTGATTCTTCAACCTCCTTAGTGAAGGTGTTTGTGTTGTTAAAAGCAGTGATGACACCTGTTTTATTTCTAAAACAATAAATACATTAACTTCTTAAAATATTTTTTTCCAGTCGGAGTCTAACTCTGTCACCCAGGCTGGAGTGCAGTGGCATGCTCATGGCCACTGCAGCCTTGACCTGCTGGGCTCAGGTGTTACTTCAGCCTCAGCCTCCCGAGTAGCTGGGAACACAGGCATGTACCATCGTGCCTGGCTAATTTCTTTTTTTTTTTTAGTTGGAGTCTCACTCGGTCACCCAGACTGGAGTGCAGTGGCCGCTTCCGGCCACCGCAGCCTCGACCTGCTGGGCTACGGCGATCCTTCCGCCTCAGCCTTCCAAGTAGCCAGAATTACAGGCATACGCTACCATGCCCAGCTGATTTTTTGATTTATTGTAGAGATGAGGTCTCGCTGCCCAGGTGGGTCTCGAACCTGCGGGCTCAGGCAATCCACTCACCTCAGCCTCCCAAAGGCGCGGGATTACAGGCTGAGCTCTCAGGCTGGTCTCGAACCCCTGAGCTCAGGCAATCCTCTTGCTTCTGCCTCCCAAAGTGCTGGGATTACAGGTGTGAACCACCATGCCCAGTCAAGATTTTTTTTTTTTTGAGTTGGAGTCTCGCTTGGTTGCCTAGACTGGAGTGCAGTGGCCGCTCCTGGCTACCACAGCCTCGACCTGCTGGGCTCCAGCGATCCTTCCGCCTCAGCCTTCCAAGTAGCCGAATTACAGGCATGCGCTACCACGCCCGGCTGATTTTTTGATTTATTGTAGAGTTGAGGTCTTGCTGCACTGGCGGGTCTCGAACCCGTGGGCTCAGGCAATCCACTCACCTCAGCCTCCCAAAGGCGCAGGGATTTTTTTTTTTTTAAGTAGGAGTCTCACTCTGTTGCCCAGACTGGAGTGCAGTGGCAGGATCATGAGTACTACGGCCTTGACCTGTTGAGCTCAGGTGATCCTTCTGCCTCAGCCTTCCAAGTAGCTGGGACCAACAGGTGCGTGCCACTATGCTTGGTTATACTGTTTTGATTTCCTGTACAGACGAGGTCTCACCATGCTGTTCAGGCTGGTCTTGAACTGGGTTCAGGCAATCCTCGCACCTTGGCTTCCCAAAGTCCTAGGATTACAGACCATCTGGCCAAAAAGACTGTATTTGATAAAATGGAATGGTTTGGAGGCTTCAGCTGAGCAGACAGGCAGCCCCAGTCCAGCACTGTGATTGCCCTATCTAATGATTGATGGCTTCTACTACTCATTCTGCACTGTCTCAGTTATGCATGGGTCAGACAAAAAAAGAAAACTAGATAACATACAAGTTAATGCAAGGCATAAAGACAATACTTCCACAAACCCACCCCAAGATGCCCTTCATTAGACTCTTAATTGTGTATGTTCATTCAAGCATTTCAAAAAGCTTGACTGGAAAGAGAAAAACTGTGATGAGTATATAAAGTCTGACCTTTTCATATTCTGGGAATAAAAACTACATCGCAAATATATTTGAAAGTCATTACAAAAATCACTTGCAACTTCTAAACTCTTTCTTTAGAAAAAGAAGGCAATTATTAATTTAAATCTGTATTTCAAAAAAATCTACCCCTTAACCACACATTCATCCTAAAAAACCCCACTAAGACATTCAGTTCATTTTTGAAATGGGAACGTCTCATGCTTTACCATCATTTACAGATATAGCCTTCATTCAAAAAATCTTTGTGTAATTTAAATATGATAGTGATCTGGGAGGTTAACCTAATCAGCTCTTTGTATGCAAATGACAATGTGATTGCACACATTCCTGGGGGAGAGTTTTTTAAATGCCCTGGGTGCCAAACATATGTACACACATTTTAAGACATGAGCTATGCATTACTTTTAGTTTGCTGCAGTGGGAAGTGTCTGGATGCTGGTGGTAACCACTCTGAGCACCTCTTGCCATCGCAGAAGTCAGGCACGACTTGTATTCATCTTTTGTTATCGGTGTCTCTTGAGCATTACATTTTTTTTTTTGAGTTGAAGTCTCACTCTGTCACCCAGATTGGAGTGCAGTGGCTGCTCCCGGCCACTGCAGCCTCGACCTGCTGAGCTCCGGTGATCCTTCCACCTCAGCCTTCCAAGTAGCTGGAACCACAGGTGCGCGCTACCACGCCCGGCTACTTTTGATTTATAGTGGAGATGAGGTCTCGCCAAGTTGCCCAGGCAGGTCTCAAACCCGGGTTCAGGCAATCCACTCACCTCGACCTCCCTAAGTGCTGGGATTACAGGCTGAGCCATCGAGCCTGGCCAAGCATTACATTTTTAATAGCTTTTTCCTTTCTTAAAATTGTGTACACATTTTTGGCACCCTCTGTATATTGACCAGAAAAGGTCTAAAGTCAAAAACATATGAAAAAGACAAAATAACTCAGAAATTCTTATTTCACAGATGAGGTGTGAACTGCTTAGATTCTTAAAGTTCAATTTATATTCTCCAAAACAGTAAAATTCCTGTCTTCCCCATTTCTTGTTCACCAGCTTTCCTTCACATTTAAATTTACCACAGAGGAAAGCACAAACCCCAAATCCCTGGCGGTATCCTTCTCAAATTAATATGAGAAGCTGAGGACAGGGCGGGAGATTTAAGCTGGCTACTTGGGAAAGGCGAGCAAAGGCAGCTGAAAGGGCAAAGTTATTCTGCTAAGGGTACGGCGGGATCCCGCAGCCGGCGAGGGTGCGCAGATGAAGGCCGAGCACCCAGGAGTGGGGGGATCAGGAAAACAGACCGAAGGATCTGCAGCTCGCCCCGAACACATTTTCCACATGGGAATCTATAACCAGTGCTGCTAGAACTAATTTTTGAGAGGAGTCAGAAACCAGAATTTTAATGTGTTAATTAAAACATCGTTCAGGCCAAACCTGTGCTAGTTCGTGTGTAGCCGAACACCTGAGAGATGGCTTCACAATTTTTAGATCAGAGACAGGATTCCAGGCCACTGAAGCAGGAAATACTTACTTGACGGAGAGAGAGAAATCCCCAGGAGCACTCTCACTCTCTCGGATAAGAAAGGCCCCATCATGCCGCTGTTTGCTAAGCATTTCTTCTGCCTTGGCTCTGGGGATTTTGCCAAAAAACCACCTAAGGAAGGAAGGCAAGCCAGTCAACATCTGCTTCCCCACAAAGAAACGGGATATCCAGAGCCTTCGAAGTGTGAGTAACATAACACTCCAGGACAGAGGAAGGGGCCTCCCTCCTCACCCTTCAGTTTCACCCTGCCCAGCAGTGTCAAGTCGAGTCACTGGTCGAGTGACCAGTTGTCACTGGTCAAGTCCCCAGAAATGGACCTTCAGATGACTTCGCCCTGCTTCACTTTCCAGAAAGTGACTCACCCAGGCACTACTGTGGGCCACGCTTTCTATAGAGCAAGACACTTAAAAATGGGCCTCCTGGGCCAAAGCCTACTGGACTCCATACTGACTCATCAGAAAGGCACCTAGGGGAAAGCCCAGCCTATGGACTTGAAGTACAGGATGAACTACACAAGGAGAGACAGGCCCCTTCTTGCAGCCATTTGGTAAGGGTGCAGCTTTGCGACAGTGGAAAGAGGCGAAAAGGGGGAGGAAACCTGAAAGGCCCAGAAGTTGGAGGCAGGGCAACTTCTAACAGCCCAAAGGGAAAAGGTTCAGGCTATGAGAGAGCAGCGTCTACCACTGTCTACCACTAACTACGATCCGCATTCCTCTGACGGCTTCTCTCTGTGGTCATTGCTCAGAGTTCAGCTTCCAGAAGCCACCAGGATGTCGTAATTTACCATATGCTATTTGCGACCATTTGCAGCTAGTTGCAAAATTAAGATTTTTCACATCTGAAGCAAGTTCCAGACGGTTCTGCTCCCAATGCTAATTCACCTTAGCCAGAAGAAAGAGTGGCTGAATACACAGAAAACTGTGGGAGCAAGAGGCCTGTGGCTTACAAGAGGAAAAGAAGAACACCTTCAAGAAAAGGGCTTGAAGTCACAGCTGTCGGGCTATTTAAAATGAAATCCATAACTAAGTAGGATTGAGGAACTGGGAAAACAATGTTCTCTTTTTAAAAATGTCTTTAATGTTTTATTATTTTTAAAAAGCAAAAATGGCCGGGGTCCGTGGCTCAGCCTGTAATCCCGCGCCTTTGGGAGGCTGAGGTGAGTGGATTGACTGAGCCCGCGGGTTCGAGACCTGCCTGGGCAGGCGAGACCTCATCTCTACAATAAAATCAAAAAATTAGCCGGGCGTGG